TACGTCGGGGAGATAGCCATTTTCTTATGTCTTAGGCATTGTATCAAACCACAACCTGGAAAGTGCATGACGAAAAAGCAGGAAGTTAAAATTTTCATTTATACTTCGTTTCCGCCAAAATTGGCCAACTGGCCAGCTTATGAATACACAGACGGCTACTTGAAAACTCAATTTGAAGGAAAAAGCAATCACCGCATTATTTATCATAAGGAAACTCATCGCTAAACACCGTTCGCTGTTGATTTTTGTAGATTTCTTGGTTTTATCATCTGCTTTGATTCGAGAATGAATCTATCACTTCCCTCAATAGCCTCATATTGGATGCTTTGAATTCAATACTTTTCAAGTCTCTCGATCGCCAAAGGAAAAATAACAGCTGAGCATGTTCAATACTCTCTTTCTCAATATTTCTCTCTCTCAATATTTCTTTGGTTTATAGTAATAACCGCATACAGTACCACATTTTATTTGACAACGTCTTGGGATTACTCGGCACTGTTATTGCAAAATTGCGTTTGCTGTGATATATTCGTTTGCGATATAAATTTTATCGCATGACTTAAAAAATGGATTTCTTTTTTTCTTTCATATTTCCTTCACAATTCTCATCGAACTGGATTGTGACAAACAAACTAAACTCTTTTAAAAATAAAACCATCTTTAAATTTAAGAATTTTTCTAATTTATTCCTCCGTTTTTTTTTTTTTTATTAGTAATTTTTTCCTGTTTTATTTTTATTAATATTTTCTATTTTTCGTCAATTTTTATGGTAAGACTATTTAAATATATATATACACATATATATATATATATGTATGTGAATTACAATATTTTTTGATTTGATAAGTTGTTGTTGTTGTTGCTGTTGTTGTTGTTTTTCTCTCTCAATAACTTTGGTAGATATATTTTGATATATTTATTGTTATATAAATATTTTTAAGTTTTTTATTTTCTTTTTTTTTTTTTTTTTTTTTTTTTTTTTTTAGATTATGTTTGCAAATCCATAAATATTATAATGTACTTACATACATTCACATATATGTATGTGATGAATGTGTGTGATTTCTTAATATATTTTCTATTCAAAACTGTCATATTATTTAGGCATTCATTTGTATATCCTTCTAATATTTTTGATTAAATGAGAAAAAATTTTAAAACGCAGAAAACGAAAGAAGTATTCAAATGTATGGGAAATGATATACATAAAATAAGAAGGATTTCAGATAGATAGGTGGACATTATTAAGCTCAGTTTACATTAGAAGCTTGAGGTAATAGTAGTTGTAATAGTACCAATCATAGGAAGACAAACATTTCTTCATCAAGCTCATATTGAAAGAATTAAAAAATAATAAAGTCAAAGCATCAATAACCTAATCAATCGATTAGACCCTTTATTAGCGCGAATAACAAAATCGATTAAACCAACTCCGTTAAGGTTATAAGATTTTGTCTGAAATAAAGCGGATGCGTTCATATTCGTCAAACGCAACGCACACATATACAATACCCTTCTTAAATCATGCACACTGCCAGCCAGAGTGGTTCATTCGATCAATCAGTCAAGATCATTCGAATTTGAATTTACATATTCATCAGATCAAGTTCAAGTGAAATTTTAATAAATGATTTCATCCACATTTCCTTTGCCCCTCAAAATCTACACTACACGACTTTACGCATAACATTAAATTTAATTTTAGTCATCTTAACTCCTGTCGGTTTAGTTAAGAAAAAAAAAAAAAATTGATCTAAGTGCTTTTCGTTGTAAATAGCGAGAGACTATCTCTGGTGTACTTTTCAAAATCTATTTCTATTCTATTATCTTGCATACATCTGTTATGTTTAGCATACTGCTTTTCGAATGTGTCGCGTTACATTATTATTTGTAACGATTGCCAACCTGTAAGGTACGGTAAATGTCTACGGTGCAAAGCTTGCGGTTTGATAGCATATTATTTTTTACGTTACAAAGTCTGCTTAAAAAAAAAAACAATAATAGAATCATATAACTTGCTCTTTAGTTACAAATAAATGAGAAATTATATATGAAAATTATTATATTGATGCCACTACATCCGGCATCAATGCCTTCCACGGGTGGATTCGTTTGCCAACACTTCTTAGCAAGTTTTAATCTCATTAAGCAATAGCCTTATATCACTTTTTGAAAGTTTTTCTTGGAATAACTGCACTTTCTTTTTTTAGCTATTCAAGAGTTATTTGACTCCTAAAGCATCCTAAAAGAAAAGGCAAAAAGGATAGCATTCCAAAGAGCTATAGAAATTTCTCGAAACTGAAAAAGGAAACGATCACAATAAAAAAAAAAAGAAAAACAAAAGCCGACTAAAAGTGAGTTTGCTCGGACATAGATGAACTGCAGCATATTTTACGGTCATCGCATCTCGGCAAAATTTCATGAACTATTGCTATATTAGGTACGTACCTCAAAATCGTAATCAAATCGATATTATGCCAGCTATAGATGCTGCTTTTCATCAGACAACATTAATAGAACGAGAAAGATCTTCAATCGCTTAATACCGTTGCTCCTTTTATCCTAACAATCTGCGATCTTAACATACGTAATTTTTGATGGAATATACATTCTATATACTTCATTAATATATAATTTTTCTCTCTCTGTCTTTTTATTTGTTTCCTTTGACCTATCTGCTTATCTCTTTTTTCCATGCATTTTTCTCTTTGTTGCTATATCTGTCCTTATATCTATATGATCGTTTATCTAATCACTGCAAACGGACAATGTAAACTGAGCTTGTCTATATAAAAAAAAGTGTTATCAAAACATAGAGAATTAATATAATAAGAGCGTTCTAGAATTTTGAAAAATGAAAAGGAATACAGAAGTAGTACTGATACGTAAGCAACCATTTCAGTGCCTACTCTTTCATCCCCATTATTTACATGAGCCGGCAAGAGCTCGGTTGAAGATTTCTTGTTAAAATGTCACACATTGTATCAAACCTTTACAAAAGCACAAACCTCTACTTTTCTACATTTCGAAGCACGTATATGCTATGTAACGCGTATATGTTTACATGTGTGTACAAAAATATAAGCTAAAGGCGGCGTAGCAAATATAATATAATTTGTTTTCATTTCATTGGGGATTTCTGCATTTTATTTTAGTCAACTCTCTACATACGTATCAATGACTAGTCTGCTTATACGGAACTTTCATGCAACACAAAAGTGATGATATAAAAATGCGTTACTAGCAAAACGCTAAAGTTTTTGACAGCCATTGCTACCAAGCCGACGTTTACGAATATTATATATGAAATATATTAATATGAAGATGAGTTAGGTGTTGGGAAATTAATTTTTAGCAGAATTGCATAGATGAAGATAAAGAAAAAAAAAAACATTCGATATCGTACCGATTTAAAGCACGCTAATCGGAAGACTGCAAAACAATCTGAATGACGTAAGTTAGAATCGGGAATAGATCTTTATTATTTTAAGCATATATTTGTCTAGTTATTAATTATAGTTATAAAATAATTATTTTTATGATGCATTACATTTGAATTAAGCAGACTATGATGCTGTGCTGGTTCTAGAGAATTTGACATAAATAAATAACAAGCCTTATGCAGTGTTTCAAGGTAACACGCCTTGTGCAATACATCAAGGATGACATACTTGCATATGCCAATATTCTATCGTAAATGAAGACCAACTAACTGTTCCTATAATATAACTTTTTCTTTTCAATTACAAACAAAAATATCTTTACCTTCACGTAGAAAATTTTCAATGAAACTTAGTTAAGCACCTGATGAATGCAGATTTCAAAAGTCTCTTAAGTGCGAATCGATGTAAATGAGGAAACAAAAATATATTACGTCTGTGGCTTTATTTATAGAATATAGAAACATTTCGTAGAGTGTGACATCATACCAAGCAACAGAATTCTTGTTCGTGCATAACAATGAGAATGAAAAGAGCAAGCAATCACATCATTGTTTACGTAGCAATACTACTTGTGTTACCTTAATAGTATAATATGATGATGATAATGATTCAAGGATGGATTCAAGGATTCTGCGCTCGTTTATTTGTAAGGGATTTAAGGGGAAAAGCTCTTGTCATATTAACTCTCTCTGATCAAAGTTACTTGCACTCTTGTTTTTACAACCAATTCATTAAGACCGTAAACGCTAAAGAGCATATAAGAGACTTCTCTTATTCTGCTAGTCTTTATTCTTTAATGAGCTAGAGCGCGATAAAAGTCTCACGATATTAGAACTTAGAAAATAATCAACAATTAGATTATCAATATGATCATTATTATATAAATTATTACACATTTACTTTTTTTATTTTTTATTTAAACCGGTGATGCGATAAAACATATAAAAAAAAAAAAAAATAGGGAAAGCAGAGCAATTACCTAAACATACACATATACATACAAAGTTTTACTGCCAAAAGCAGTCATTACATACAATATTTTAAAGCAAAATCTATATACAAATTTTTTTAAGAATGTTGTTAAAATAGAAATAATTCATTTATTTTTTAAACGAAATTTAAAAAAAAAAAAAAAAAAAAAAAAAAAAAAAAAAAATTAACATATCGGTGGGGATGAGTAAGTGAAAGAGATTTTTTTCGGAAAAAAAATTATTTTTATTTTTAACTTTTTTTTTATTTTATTTTTTTTTTTTACATTAAACAGAAACAAAACTAAACCGTTTACTAACATAATAACAAGTTGCCTGTAAGAGTCATGACTAAACGAAATGGACTGGAGTTTGTAAACGATTGATTTTGGCACAAATTGTTATTCAATACATAACAAAAGTTACTCTGTTTTGTTACTCAACGTATTTTCATTCACTTTCCCTTATATCTTTTCTTTTAAATTGCACGAAATTTTTTTTTATTTTAATATTAGAGCTAATAAAAAAAAATTTTCCTTTTTTTATGCGTCAGTATTGCCCACAATTAAGTTTCTGTGATATTTTTTTTTTTTTTTTTTTTTTTTTTTTTTTTTTTTTTTTAAACTTGTTTCTTGTTTTAACAAAAAATTCTTTGGTAGCATTTAACCAGCTATCAGAACCACGATAGTTGTTTATACCCTGTATTGTTGTAGTTGTTGCTGTTTTAGCTTGACGCACCCAGAGAATTTTTCATATGAGATCCAGCACCCGTACCGAATGGCGAATTATTTGCACCAGCCTGAGGTCCATTGTTGTTGAGATCGCCTGGTGCTCGAGGACCAGGACCTACCGCATTGCTAGCACCTAACATACCGGCATTAGCTGCTCCGGCGGCGCCACCGGCATTGGCTGAATCTTGACCAATCGAATTGGCGTGACGTTTTAACATCGGATGATTGGCCATAGAGGCGAATACCAAACGTTCTTCATAATCATATTCGCAAAGAATTTTATTCTCACATAAATAGAAACGATCGCCAACACAAAATCTACGAATAAGAAACAAAATTTGAAAACACTTTAAAAATACCTACTAAATAAAAAAAAAAAATTAATTATACATGTTCATATTTATGTTTTTGTATGGGCATAAGTAAATATTATCAAGAAATGGTGTCTCAGATATCTATATTTTTGATTTAAATAACACTATAAATATATTTGGTATGTTGATCGGTTCAATCCATTTGCCGATTCCTTTAACTGTATGCACATTTTTTCATATTTCACCGCCTTCTGCCGCACCACTCACTCTAAGCAGCGTAATAGAAAGATTGAGTTGAACGTTAATAAGACGACTGTCTGCAACTTATATGTCATTCATTTATAATAATTATAGCGTCTTACAGACTTTTCTCATTTCTATAAAGTTTCTACGAAAGTAGATATGAAAACGAAAAAAAAAAAAAAAAAAAAAAAAAAGCACTTCAACGTCATACAAATATAATTTCTTCTTTTTTACGGATAACCGCAAATATTCTTTTTTAACACCTTTTTTGCGCAGATACACTATTTGCTTATATTTGTGGCATACTGCGCTCTCCCACATGAACTTACTTCTCTTGCCATTTTTTCTACTTTTTTAGGAATTGCCGTTAATGCTAAAAGCGCGACACAGGTGTTCATCATTATTTGTATTTGTTGTTTGATTTACTTAAAAAAAAAAAAAAAAAAAAAAAAAAAAAAAAAAACAATAAAAAATATTAAAAAAAATGGGAAAAATGTTCTCTCTATTGATTTACGTATTCTTTTTTTCTCTGGTCCTTTTTGTAAGATAAACAAACTTTTTTAACGGTTTGTTGGTTTGTTAAAAAATAAATGAGAGAAAAAACTTGACTACTGTTATACCCATATGTGGATAAATCATGTTGGCTAACAACTCAAATCCTTTTTGTAAGTCACTATAGAGCTGAATTTTTTTTTTCTTTTTTGTTTTTAAAGCGCGAAAGCGCATACAAACAGGTGAGTAGGGTTGGCACCGTTAAAATTTTGATAATTCCTCTTCTTTTTTTTTTTTGCAACGCGATAAGTTTAAATAACGAGAAATAAAATTAAACTTTGCCAAAGTAGCGCAGTAATCGTGCACTACGAAATTCCCGACATTTAGTACGGCTCGCAAAAATACGATTTCTTTTTAAAGGCCTCGATAGATAGTTAAGTAATATTGGGCCTTTACTAGGTCAAGCAATGTTACGCTTCTTAGTGAGTGCAACATTTGAACTTACGCTTTTTTATTTGGTATATTAATTAACTTTTTTTTCCTTTTTTTGTTGTTTTAATTGCTTCTTTTTGCCGCTCACAGTCTCAACCGGCCTTAGTCACCTTCATCGAACTCAGTTGCTAAGCTTTTTAGGATAACATTGGTATTAGTTCACTGATTTACGAATAATAGACGAATAAAAATCTTTATCGTCTTCTGAGGAATTCTTATTACCTCTGGTTCTCTAAAATTCTTAACCCTGTTAGGATGATTTAGATGAGGCAGAGTTCAAGATCGCAGACCAACTTTCAATATAGATAATAGAGTCAATGATAAAACTACTAGACTCGCAATTTTTTTCTGCCTTTCTCTGATTTCTTTACCAAACTTCATATATTTGAGAGCGACAACAGAAGATAGGCAGACAGAGGAAGCGAAGGCATCTCCCATTTACGGCACCGTTATTTGGGATAATGTAATTGACGCAAATTTGAATCTAAGAGAAAAAATCGCTTAATGTCTGTCTTTAGGCAGAGTGGAGCGAAACTATGTGAATCATTGGAGCATCAGAGACGCACCGAAACCCTCACCTTTTCAAGGTGCTCCCTATAAACATTGGCTGACTGCTTTACAGACCCTTATTTATTAGACTAGCTCAGCCAACGGCAAAGAAACACATAAGTCTTATATAATCTGGCGACGGATTTTTCTCTTGAAAACCTATGTAGACAGAGTATCGTAAGAGGGTTCTCTTTTCTTTCGAAAAGAGCTGATTTTTTTCTTCCTTGCGGTTTTCTTTCATTGAAGCCATCAAACTCGCAAAGGTTCTGATGGTCTATGAAGTGTGCTAGATCCCTGACGAAATGACGAAAAGCCAAAAGCAAAAGGACGACAAGTCGTGAAATTATGGGTGTCCACGGGGGTCAGGGTGCCCAAAAGTAGGGTTCTACTGCCCATCAGACCACCGGGATGAACGTCTTCTCGTCTGACTGCTGGATACGAGCTCTCGGGGAGTACCGTGGCAGCTGTGTTTACCCCAAGTTTCGTGAAGAACTAATATAGAGCTGTTACATAGGCATCGACGCCTACCAAAAGCAAGAGAATGGTTCACACCTATTTTCTATTTTAATACCTCAGAAATAGTAGGGTCCACTTCCACAATAGGGATTGTCCTACTCTTTACGTAGGATCAGTTATCGCTTATTAAATTAGCCCGTGCGTGGTCGGGTGGTGTTAAATAGAGCTCTACCTAGCCTAGGTAGTCACATGAAACTCACTTTGGGATCTGTCTTAAGCCAGAGTTTTGAGAATGAAAAGCAGAGTGAGTTTTTTTTTAATAAAAAGTGCTTCAATTACTCTTATCGAAAATTCGCTACATACCTATTTTCAAGAAATAATTTTAAAAAAATTGCAAACAATTTCAATAAGATAAGTAAAAATTGTTAGAAACGTGCCTTTCAAGATAAACGTTTGTAAAATTTTGAAATATTTTATAGAGATGGTTTTATCTATATTAAGTTTGTGCGGCCTTATGTAATACCCAGAAGCACTTGAGATGGAACCAATTTTATTATACTGATGCATTCAAAGCCAGTTTCTGATCACATCAGAAGATTGTTGTGACGTATGAAATGATATGTAGACCCACCGCTTATTAAGTTTTTATTAAGCTTGTCTGTCCGTTTGTCCATCTTTTCCCTTCTTTTTGACATATTTTGATGATATATATATATATAACCAAACCAAAAAGCTATGAGTGTACGAACTACATAGATCTCTCTTTAGATAAAACAAGTAAAAACTCTATAGTAGGGCGCGGTTTACAATTAAATACCCTACACCACTCTTCAGTTGTTCATTTATCGGCTTTTCAAAACAAGGTATTATATGAGAAACGGTCGAAGAAGTTGGCCGATCCCAATCACGCCAGTGTACCAGATTTTATCAAAATATCTCAAAAATTGAAGCCTAGATCTTGAACATAAGACACACGCACAGACAACCTTAGCGAATGAGTCGATCGTTTTAGTAACATGTGCATCTATCTGAAGTCTTTCTGGGTGCTACGTACACCTACACTAAGCTAACATACGCTTTTACCACATGTAGTGTAGGATACAGGAAGAGAAAAATCGCCGTTAATACTAAGAAAAAAAGACATTCTAAACCAACCGATAGCTTTTTGAAAGTCATTCGAGAACGCCTTAATTCAAAAATAAAACAACAAGAATTGGTAAATCAAAACGAGTTTAGTTCAGTTCCGACTTTTCACCTTGGAATTCATTTATATCATCTTTGAAGTAATTTTTTTAAAATCTATAAAATTTCTATTCACAGTAAAAACGGCACTTAGTCCAAATTGCGGTATGCTTTTGTAGTTGAAGATGTGATTATAGTAACAATCCCAAACAACGTTTGTAGGAATAACTTTTCTTCCCCAAAAACATTCAAAATGATATCACAGTGAGTGCTCGGTCGATAAAAGTGCAACCTGAAGTACTGATTGAACACACGCACACTAGGCCGCGGCTACTACCTCTCTCGCCTGAAAATGAAAAAGTGACATCTCATTGGTGATCGGTCATCTGTAAAAGAAAATTTGGTGCTGCAGTACTAGTTATATAAGAAGAGAGACAATGATGTAACTGTGCAAACAAAAGTCCCGTAAGCATTTCAAGTTTGCTAATGTTTTCTTCTTCTTTCGATTTCGGCAGTGCGAGTCGGCTAATGCCACTTACTCAGCTTGCAATGTATGTTTGCATGATTAATGCATACCTTAATTAATTATCTTTCTTCGCTAACTAAATGCTTGGACTGTGTCGTTGTAAAAGTGAACTTTTTCTGATCAGTTAATAGAGTTATTTAATTCCAATTGTCTTCAACCGATTTCCGTAAAAATTTAAAGTAATTTAATTAAATTTTTGATAAAAAAAAAAAAAATAGTTTACATCGACTTATCAAGAAGAAGCCATTTCATTAGCAAACTGTCACATTCCTAACCGGTGTCCCATTTCAAATAACTTTTGTCTTTGTTGTTATGTTAAGACAGCGCCAAGACTAAAATAACCGAAGCTGGACATTTGCATTGACGTCTAGCTTCACTGATACATATATAAACGACTTGTCATAACAGTTGCTTTGTTTTATTTCTGAAAGAGTTTTTTTGAGTTTATCAACTTAAAAAAATGCATTCTAGTGGAAAATCGAAAAGTTTCCGGCAACCGGAAATTTTCTAAATGTCACAGCGAAAACTAAAAAATGAAACAATAAATTTTATAATGGCTTAAACGTGATCACAGAATGAAGTAAAGGCGAAAGCATATTTAGTTTGAATTAAATGAACACACACACAAGATAATAAAGAATAAAATAAAAAAAAATAAAAAAAACAAATTTGCTGAGAATAGCTCTGACTCTATTTCAATTATACCCTACATCACTTGTGGACGAGCCTATCAAGTTTGTGCGTATGTATATCGCATCCAGAAGGAGTTGAAATACACCCAACTTTTATTCTCATGGCAAAGAAAATCTGCTCATCTCTCTGCCTAACTCTGTCTACTTAATATCTGCACACGTCACATTATGTCATAATTTTTTGAAAATATTTTGGTAAACCATAGTGCACTAGTATCTTTTGCATCAGCGACGACAACTATTGAAAACACATTGGATCGAAGCACTTTTATGACAGCTCCTCATATGACAATGCTTTTGGAAAAAGTTTTCATATGAGTAAAAGCTTGCGAAAACGCAGCATGTTGCCATGCTAAATAAATATGGAAAATTCTGATCGGATCCAAACTCTCCCAATGAAAACTTTCTCAACGAAAGTTAATGTGGCGATGGACGTAGGTGCAGTACAACTTTTTGGCTTACAAAGTGACTGTATCACGGGTGCACCGCATATGGGTCTATTTTTCGAGTCCAATCCATATTGAAAATTCCGTAAATAGTAAGACAGAGGAACTCTACTAAGCAAAGTAATATATGATATCATATCGGTAAATTTTGACAATTACAAAACTGAGTTCAGTAAAGTCACTGCAACCTGTAAACTTATTGTAAGAATGTCTTGAGATTTTGTCACATATCGCATTTGAAGGTTGGTACTATGCAGAAATCGGTTGAGGCTGTCAACAGTGTTGCCATATATGTCATATCAGGCGGAAGACTTGTTAATAATAAATATGTGACACGTCAATGGTCCTTTTCTTCTATATTCTTGGGTAGCGTAACAATCGGAAGGCCCTCTATTTATTCCTTTAATAATATAAGCAAACATTCATATTGTGTATTCGAGGAATTCGAAAAAGTCGAAAACAGTATATGCAAAACTCAAACATGAGAATTAGAAAATATTGCTGAAAATAGTTCCAGAAAGAAAAGATAAGTGCCAAAAAAAAAAAAAAAAAACAAGAAAAAGAAAAAGAACCGAAACAAAAACGAATTTCTTACATTATTTCTTCTTCTTCTTGTGTGAAAGGATAGGCAATCAAAGACATAAATAAATATTTTGTAATCATAATTAGAAGCATTCGTAACCCGAGCTAATCGGATAAGAAGAATTTCGGTCAAATACTGAAAGTTTTTGGTAAACATATAATTAACGCTTATTTTAAAATTGTTGTAGGATTATTGGTTTTTCCAAACACGATAGACAAAAACAAAAAGAAAAATTTTCTTAATTATCTCAATTAGTTTTTAATAATTTACAGAAATATTAACTAATGTTGTGTTTACCAATAGAACTAAGTATTTTGTCTTCCCATCGTAACTCAAATTTGACAGTTATTCACTACCGAATAGCATTTATTTAATTTTACTTATCCTGATCAGTTGCGATGAAAGAATGCATCATCAAAATCAAGTAAATTAAGTGAAAAACTTTGAGGAAAAGAAGATCCACTGAATCGATTATCACTATTCACAAAATATTGAAAGAAGTGATCTTGTTTTTGAAAAGCTAGATTGTAACTGATTTGCCCAAGACACTTTTGAACCAATAAAACGTTACATATGCTTATGCTTATCAAAACCAGTTAATCCTCCCATCAAACACGTTTGTAATTTAAGCGATTTATTCTTCTAGTTGAACTCATCATAATATAGTTTTATAGAGCATAACTAACTGTCCGTGTACTTCTTACGTCGTCTGTATTTATGAAGAAAAACACTGTAATTCTTTTCCTTTTTTTTTTTTTTTTTGTCTTTTTTTAAGAAAACAAAATGTACAGAGAAAAGGGAAAAATAAAAATGACTGATTAAAAACAGTAATCAACCACACGAAAAAATGTTTTGCGGCAGAAGCTACGGGTGTTTCCGTTTTCCGTTTACAGTGGACTCACTCTTTCTCACTCTTTAACTCGTCCAGCGCATTCATAAGACCTGGAGAGAAAAACCAAAAAAAAAAAAAAAAAAAGAACAGGAATGTAAAGCAGCTGTGCTTGCTGGCGACAATTTCAAATATTCCTATCAACACTGTATGGTATATGATGAACTGAAGCCAATACCCGCTACCAATATCGATGACGACAACGTCAACAGGAAATTATGCAAACTTGATAAAAACAAAAAGAAATAAAAAATCAAAAAAATAAAAATAAAAAAACGAGAAAAAAAAAAAAAACAATCGTAGAGCGAGTTAACAAACATGTGGCATATGGACATGCGGGTCCATAGATTTTTTGTTTTCTTTTTTTTTTTTTTTTGCCCTTCTTTCTTCTTTCAAGCAGGTGTATGTGCGTACATATATATATATATATATATATATATGTATATAAAATATATAAATACAACGGAGTTACATTTCCGCTTGAGATGATTGTGACAAACATACATAGCTTTGGATAGGTGTGCATGAATGATTGTATGAAAAACGTGTACGGTATGTTTTATGGAATAAGCTGTGGACTGTGAAAAAATGATTTTTTGGCAATTGAATTAATTTTTAAAAAATTGATTAGTCTTTCGATACCAGCAAAAGCAACAACAGCAGTAATAACAATAACAAGACAAAAAATACCGACATATCAACATTTATTTGCATTACATCAGTTACCATTACAACGCTCTGATGACGCATGATATGAAATTCCATTTCATTACATATACACAAAAACAACGCTCAGTCAGTTATTGTTATGCGATTGTACTATGGTCGATTGCTAAAGGCCTCCTATGCATTTTTAATATTTATGCATATGCAATGTATAAAATCAATTTTTGAAACAAATTGTAAAAATAAAAAAATAAAAAACAAAACAACACACGAAAGAAAAAAACATATTGTTTTTATACATACTTTTTTAAGTTGAAACAATTGCTAAAGTAAATGTATAAAAATTGTCGTGGATGAGATGAAAATCTTATTATTAATTCAATGAAAAAGTAAACTGAGTACGGACGACGGAAATGGCATTGCGATATTTCATAAATACAATATCATCTGAAAAAAAATACAAAAAAAAACATTCACCTTTAGTATCCAACAAGTATCCCCAGAGTGACATTGGCTGAGTAAATAAAACATAGCATAGCAAGAGAAAAAAAAAAAGAAGGCAAGAAAAAAGGGTTAACACTAACAATGATTTAACAGCCAATAAAACGAAAGATGAACAAACAGGTCATGGCAGAAAATAACTTGAACCGTATCGCAATTTTCTCAATAGTTTAGAACGAATATTGCTGAGCCTTATTTTATTAACAGCTCACAGTATTTCTCTCCTTATCACACAATTTCAATTAAATTGTCTGTCTCTTAAAGCTCAAGGTCTTCGATTCATACGTTCATCGTGTTAGTTTATTAAAGATTCTTTCGTTAAAAGCGCTTCACAATGATCGACATATTTTTTTTGCTGTTTGAAATCAGATTGAGCTGAAAATGGATCTCTCAGCGTTTCCCTAATGGTTTCGGGTGCACTGTCATTGAACATTTCTCAACGCTTCAAAGCATTCCAATAAGCTTTTTCTATTATTATAATTTTACCCTTTTTAAGACAATCAATTTATTAAAATCATTTTTTCCGAATTTTTTATCACAATTTCGACAATTGTTTGACTGTTTAAGGAGCTGAAGAAAGAGCCGAACTTAACTCATTCTCAGGTTCCTTTTAATGCCAAGGTAACTGAAAATTTGATCTATAATTATCAATCAATTCAATCCTTATGGAAAGACTTAGATGGTATTTAGAACGACTACAATGACAATCAAAGCTATTTAAATTTCACAGTTAGCGGATGTGACGCACTTTCTCGCATCGAAAAGATTGGTTAAGAATTTATGCACTCAGCCGTGTAACATGCCGTTGCAATCTAAGAAATCATGTACTGTTAACAGGATTGCTTTCTTTACCATACCCTTCAACTGCTTAATAATTTTTGCCCAACCAGTGCGTTTATCACATGGATCAGCTTTCGAAATATTGCACTCTAGCGTAGGAACGAGCAGCACCGCTTAACACTTTCATCATGTCCGCGTAAATTCGCTTCCCAGATAAATCTTCTTGATATGATCGCAGCACATTCCCGAGGAACCATACGTTGATTATGCATATATTAGGAATTCCAATTATGAGGACTTTGCAATCTAGTGCAAAGTCTTACCTATATGTTCGAATTAATCGGGAAGAAATGCTGGAATTAAACTAACTACCTACCCTAACTCAAAGCAAAGAAATTTTCTTCTTACCGCCGCTCATAGAAAAGAAAACAAATTTTGCTTTTTATTCTTTTAGAGTAAATGTATTAATTTTCTCGGAATATTCTACAGCCTCTAGACATCGGCTACATGTGATTTGACCTTTCTCGATATTTTATGTAAAACATCCATTTTTGATCTTGAATTCTTTTCCTCTTATTTTGATCAGATAAAGTTCTATGCCAATTAATGAATTTTATTCTATTGGGCGATAGGGGAATATGAAACCTAGATGCATTTGTGCAACAATGAACTTTCCTATAGTAATATAATCATTTTCCGGATACATTTGTTACAATTTATTTAGATATTTTAACATATAAATCTATTAGTATATCGATGCATATGTAAAAAATCTGTAATACAAAATACAGGCTTCGCGCAAATCGGTTAAGATGCTCTTTATATATTCCTTTCCTTGGAAACTTATATTTATAGCAAAAAATATAACAAAATCAACTTATACGGTGTGTGTCAAAAGATTCGTTTCAAGTCGAACGTATTGCGTTCTGTTTACTTCTTCTTTTTTTTTTTTTTTGGTTTGCTTAAAAATCCCTTTTGAATACTGAACGATGCTTATTTGCTATTTATCGTAACTGCAAATATAACACTTAACATATTGTTTAGATGGCAAATAAAAATAAAATCTAAAATCCATAGAATAGTATCGTTGAGGGTGCTATTTGTAAACATGTTTAAAAAAGTGGAAAGGAAACACAATCCTTTTCAGATGGCCATAAAAAGATGGAACATTAGCATGCATAATATATATCGGCGGAAATCAATAACACGATCAAAATGTGCAATTTGGGTACAATTTAAGTAGAAAGATGGGGAGAGAAAATGTTAATTTTAATTCAACATACCTGTGATTACACTGCTGACAGGCGAAGCATTCCAAATGGTAGACATTTGTGCGTGCACGCATTACCATCTCAAAGGCCGGTATAACTTTACTGCAAGCAGCGCAGTAACCCGTATTACCAAATAATCTAAATAAAATTTAATAAATTAATTCAAATAATTTTTCATATAGAAAATATAAAATTATTATTAACGTATTGCTTACCTTAAGTAGTCTCTTTTGCATAACATTAGATTACCCTTTGTATAAAGAGTAGATCCAACTTCGCCTAAACGACAGTCGCAGCAACCGCACTTGAGACAATCTTCATGCCACAGCATATCCAAAGCTTTTAATAGGTAACGGTCCTGTATATGTTTACCACAACCAGCACACAATTGACTACCATTGTTATTGTTATTATTCGCAGCAGATGTTATACTATTCGTATTACCGCTATTCGCGTTATTATTGTGTGAGTTTTGTAGATTATTTGAACCCACATTGGGTTCAGTTTTTGTTATATCCATAGTCATCATCTGAAAAATTAAAACGAAACGAATAAATATTTTCGTTTTTTTTTTTTTTTCTATTTCATATATTATAACGAATTATTTTCATTATACATAGTAAGAGAATATATGGAAAAGATCAAGCAATCGTGCATAGCAACTGTGAAAAGCGATCTTGTCTAAGAATTTTCTGGATTTTCTATCTTTTTATACCCGTCAACGAAGGATGAGGAGTATATTCATTTTGTCAGAATGTTTGCAACGCTCAGAAGCAAGGTTTAGAGATCTTTAAAAGACCATCTATTCTTGATCAACTTCAAATTCTGGGTCGATTTAAGCATGTCCGTCTGTCCGTCTGTGCAATTTCTGTTACGGCAAAAATGAAGCCTTCGACTTTGAACTTGGCAGAAACTTTGGAAGATCTTGCCCAAAGGTTCATATTCAAAATGGTTGAAATCGCTCGAAGCCTACAGTACTTGTAACAGTCAGGATATCTTTGCTTCTCAAAAGAAGCAAAAAATTGGCTTTTTGCAAATTAGTTATAAATTACAGCAGATAAATCTACAAAAATTTGAATATATATTCTATGTGCAATGTTGCAAAACCTCTACGTAAATAGAAATAATTTCCCATGCCCATCCAATTTTAGGGTAGATCATTATTTTACTACCTTTTACAAAACCTTTATAAACACACAGAAGCAAGCTTCAAAACCCCAAAGTAAATAAATTCTTGGCGAGTCCCAAATTCGGAATTCATCTAAGCATGTCTGCTCATTCGTCTCTTTATCTGTCCGTCTACGTAAGTGTGATAGTTGTGGTAAACATTCTCCCGTTCACAAAAATGAAGATATCGCTTGCAAGAGAATATGAAAAGCACGCACACATGCAACTTGTTCACGCACCTACATAACAAAAGCTATGAACATCCTTGCTTTTCGTGTTTTTTGCTTCTCACTCTTAAGGCACAACACATAGACCACATAAATATCCACTTTTATTATGAATATAGAAAAGATCAGCCGCGCCCATCTAAGATTATAGAGTACGAAAGTATAGTTGTTTTCCTTTTTTTTTTTAGAATCACGATGGGTATACAAAATTCGGTTACGACCTTGTTTTCTTACTGGACTTTTCTTAATGGTCGAGAAAAAATTAAGCAAATTCCAACGTGGACATTATGTGTGAAAGAAAAAGTCATCAAGTGATCAGAGCCAGGACATACGATTTCCGAACAATATTCATCGACAGCATCGTTGCCGAGACCAGTCTTTCAACATTAAAAAATAGAGTATACGAATTAAAAGGCAAAATCATAATAAACTTGCTCAACTCTAGCAATTCAATACTCCGCGAGGACGTTAAAAAAGCTATTATTTAAATTCTCTAATTTTTGGAAAATACACAATCCTTTGAAACTCACACGTTTAATATCAGTCCTAATAAACAACGTCACTTTCAAAATGCGATTTTTGGAGAGATTTATGAGAAAAGGAAAAAACATATCGGGATTATTAACAATCTGTTATCATTAACAAAGAATTTTATTTGATCATTAAAAAAAAGCAGAGAACTAAAATATATTATTATTGACTTTAATATTTAACTAAATATATTCAGTTCTTAAGAGTAAAATCGAAATAATTTCACGCTTTTTTCCAAAAAGAGAGAGCGCAGGAGAAGATCCTCAAATTCTCAAAAAAGAAATAGCAAGAAAAAAAAAAAGCAAATATAAATTAAACTCGCGAGGAAAGAAAAGTTAACAGCAAAATAAAAGCGAATGTACATTTTTAGCTTGAATACCACCACATTTGCTCATGATATAAGCGCCCACTGAAAGTGAGAACTTACCTGTGCTCACTTATAAATAATTTTAAAAAAACGATAATATACTTCTAGGCGTTAATAACAAATGTGTACAAATAAGAAATGGCTGTGGTTAATAAAGGAACTCACATATTTTCATTTTGGAAAAATTTTGTGGAGATCTTTCTGATTACATTTTCATTGAAAATTTTTAAATATTTTTTGAAATTTTTTTAAACAGCAGCGACAAAACAATTCGAATATATTTATTTTTATACCCCCCACCACCAATATGAGGAATAAACAGCTTTTCGTTTGTCACGTCACTCGGAAACGTGGTCTAGTGCAGATCTAAGCGACGTCAGATTGCGATCGATTTGAACTGATGCATTTGTTTGTCTGTCTGCCTGAAACTTACCCCATAAACTCTAAGTTGATGGGTGCACATTGATCTTAAAAAGCAGAACTTTATCTTACGATTTCTGCCGAATGAAAGATACGCATACAAAGACGGTCAGACTAAACAAAAAATTGTAGCCAACAGCCGACAAAGGATATATATTTAAAACCTGGCATGACAATGTTCTAGGACCACTTAATATGTCAGCATAAAAGTCTTTCCTGATAAGAATTAGTTAAAAACAACAATTTAACGTAAAAATTGACCTTAGCAAATCTGGATTTTGTTGATTTATTTTTTAGTAAAATTTTATATGTAAGCGACCTCCATAAAAAGAATGCCTTTACATGGAAACAAATCGTATATTATCACGAAATGGTATCGAGGTAGTTAAGGTTCGGCTTTGCCCAACTATAACGTTTGGGCTGGCAAAAATAGTGCAGTTATTAAAAGGCCCGCGTCAAAATCATTAGGAAGAAAACTAGTGTTTTATCATGATGCAAAATTTCAGAAAAGCCGAATAGTTTAAAAACAGAATACTTAACCTTACGGCTTCGCGCAGATGCGTTTAGATACTCATTTATATCTATTCAGGCATATTTTCTCTACTTCCCGAAAAGGGCGGGAACGAAAAGTAGCTTCTTGTGGGGTAGACTCCAACAAAATCTATTTAGATAAAAATTTATTAAATAATAATGCAAGTACTTCAAAAACTTTCTATCAAAGCCAACATTTCAGACATATACAGGCCCATAAAGTATCCATAAATTGCCATTAATAACGTTGACTAGTCTTTATTTTGAATTTCGAAGAGAATACAGCAAACATGCTATACTGGACTCAAATGTTTTGACGACATTGGAAACTCCATCATTATTAGCAGAGACGTTTAAAAGCATAAGATTCTTTGACTGCCGATCAAATCCTGGCTTAAAATTACTTCATATGTTTAGTTACTTATAGATACTAGATTATCTAAATTGTGTACCCAGTATCAAACCGTCACTCTTAACCTATTACCTCCGTTTGCTGTGAAAACTTTCATTAAAAAAGAAAAGTTGCTGAAGAAAACTGTAACGAATATAACAGCATTTTAACATTAATTTCTGAGTCGTACAGATTCGCCTGAATTACTTAATTTTCAATCCAAAAATCTTGTAATTTAAAAAAACGAACTTCTCTATTATACCACCACACACGGAATCAAAGCTACACACAACACACACTCTCTCTCTCTTCGTCCTTAATTTCCTTAAGGTGTTCCTCATTTGTTTTCTTATTTTAAGGTATTGAAAGTTGTTTTTTTTCTTCTTCATCTTATCTTATTGATCGTTCAAGTTCGTGTCTATACTTGAAAAAGCGAGAAATGTAAAAAAACCCCAATATCAATCTTGGGCTCGTCCGGGATTTGAACCCGGGACCTCTCACACCCGAAGCGAGAATCATACCCCTAGACCAACGAGCCTTCGTTTCTTCCGTCGATAAATATGTTATTTAAATGTATAATGTGTCACTAGTAATAGAACAGATCTAAATCAATAGAGCATGCGAATTGCGTCGAAACTTTACTCTCTTCTTATTTCTATCTCTCTCTCTCATCCTATTTATATATAATATCATTTAGGATTGAACGAAAGCAAAACGAAACAACAGGTTTAAAGAAACAGTTTTGCGATGAAGATGAAAATAGTAGTTGTTTATATGTCATGCAAGAAAAACAAGAAATTATAAGATAACAGCGTATATATAGAAATTGTTTGTATACATATGTATGAAATTTTTTTTTTTTTTTTTTCAAAATATCAATATTATTTTTAAATTTATAAAAAATTTTTTGTTTACACATCAATTTGCTTTCATATACTTAATTAAACATGGAAGCTCCAGAGCTCTTTTAGCTCAGTGGTAGAGCACTGGTCTCGTAAACCAGGGGTCGTGAGTTCAAACCTCACAAAGAGCAAGGTGTGTTCAATAAATTCTAAGTAGGCAATTTTGGAATTAAGTTTGCCTTTCTGGACAAACCCTCGTTTTGTTCTTTTTTTATATTAAATTAATTACACATCATTTTCATTATCTATGCAATTACATTTTTCTAATGCAAAATCCTAGCAATACTGGTGTAAATAAAGTGTCCTCCCAAAGAACCCCTTCTTAATACGCACATAAGCTTCTTTGCAAATTCTTTAAGAAAACTCTTCAAAGTAAAGCAGATATTGAAGAGATGATCAATATTTAGCTTGAATATATTTAGCATTCAAATCATCTGAATTCACATTCAGGATATGCAAACTTTTTTTGAGACGTACAAGAAGTGAAAGAACTTCACATTCACACGAGCTTCGAATTCATTAGCATTTCAGAGTCCAATTTAAAATTTGTTGCATTATACAACTTTTTAAATTATTATCATTATTATAATTAATTTAGCCGGAGAAATAAATTCTATCGCTAATCACATTTGAGATTTGAACCCACGACCATTGCATTGTTAGTTGAGATCCCTTGTCTAACTTTTTATATTATAAATGTAAATAGATATAAAAATTTTCCCACACTTTCCTATAAAACAGATGCGCAGCTTTCCAAAACTATGCAGCTCTAATCAGAGGAAAGGCAAACCAGAGAAGACATATTGACTTTGTCAGAAATACATGCCGTAAAGTATAAATTGTCTTGAAAAACATAAACAATGGAAAATGAAACCATCTCTACCTGCCTACAAGTTTACCTCTCCCTGGATTGAAAACATTCTTATAGCACTGAACCTTGAACTGCAAACGCCAAAACTATTCAGATTCGATGATAAATCAGATATGTTGGAA